CTGCTGCCACACCCAGAGCCTGGACGCACCTCAGCCCTGTGGGGTGCCACCTGCTCTGCCACTATCTGAGATGCCCCACGACCTGAGAGATGGACACGGGGAGCTCTGTCCACAGAAGCACATCTCGGAGCTGCATCCAGGGGCTTTGCCAGGTTTAGTACTGTAAATGCAATGTGACACCGAGACACTCTTTGTCCCATGAAATAAGTAAAACGAGGCTATAATTTTGGTTGCAAGGTAATGAAAAGATTTATTAATGCCAACAAGCAAAAACGGCTAGCCGGGCGACCGGAGGAAACCTCAGTTCCTGCCGTGGTCCACAAAGAGGAACAGAAACAGCACTTGTTATACCCTCTGTTGTCACTTCCCCCTCAAGTCATGTCATCTGTCAATTGGTGGAGGTTTCACGAGCTGCATCCTGCTTGGTTCCCTCTTCGCGGGCCAACTTGGGGTTGGTTCCTCCCTTTGCCGTTGCTGAGGGGTGTCCACCAATAATTTCAAAGTCATTGATTTCTATGAGGTCATGGTCCTGGAAATTTCTATCGGGATGACGACTGATCACCCGGACTCCTCGTGGTCTACCCCTCCATACTGGTTCCTATTAATACACTTAGAACACACATCTCCAAAATACAAAATGATAAATCATTCTTGTGTTGTGTTAATCATCCCACAGCTTACAGAACTTGTGGTTAAGCATTGCACAACACGTCAACTTATGATTCCAACAACTCTTTCCCATTTTTGAGCAACAAATTTCTTTAGATCACTTATACCACTATGTGGCCATCTGCAAAGCCCTGCACTACAGGACCCTCCTGGGCGGCAGAGCTTGTGCCCATGTGGCAGCATCTGATAATGATAATTATTAAGTAAAAATATCTTAATCAGAATTATTTACTACCCAGTATAGGAGCTATAACAACTGTTGTAATATAGTGCATTAGGAAGCAATATTGAAGCAACTGTACTAAAGCAATTGCATTTAACCAAAACCAATTATTAAGTAGAGATTGATGTCACTCACCCAGACCAAAGACCTTAGGCAAATCTCTTTGGCTTAACCTTGAGGAGTGACTTTGAGGGGCATCCCCACTCCAGGCAGGAATCTCCACACACAATCCCAAGAAGGGATATGTCAGAAGACCCTGCCTTTAAAATTTGGGACTGGGCTTTTCTAGTATAAAGTGCTGGACTGTCAGTCAGGTGTGTCCAGGCTATGCCAGCTCAGCAGCTTTGGAGAAGTTCTCAGTGATGTCACTTGTTTGTTCCTTTATATCCAGATATTTTACAAGGTCTGCCAAATATTCTCTCACTCTCAGGATGTTTAACTTAGGGATTGATGAGTCAGGCTGTTTTCGGCTTTGTTCAGTCCCCAAAACAGCATGACAACCTCCTCCCCACCCTTCTTAATTTCCCACTGAGGGCTTTTCAAACAGGGCCTTGCTGGTGTTGTTTTACCCCATTCCAGGCAGAGCATCCTGCTACAGGACCCCCATGGGACACCTGTGCCCTCTGTTCCAACTCTTTTCCACACTGTCTCACCCCTTCCTCATCATCCTCACAATCCCCAGCTCCCCCGACAGCTTGGTATCCCCCCTCACCTTGCTTGGATTTGGTGACCTAGGCCCTCTCAGCTCATTTTGATGGTCCAAAGCCCCACCTTTTCCTCTCTCTCCTCCCTCTTTCCAATTGTCCACAATCCCCAGCCATCACTGATCTTGGTTTGGGTTGTCGCACCCCTGTCCCGCTTGGTTTGGGTGTCCCACTCCCTCTTTCCTCCTGCTTTCCCACTGTCTCTCCCCTTCCCACTCCCCTGAGTTCCCCTCGCCCGCAGCCGGGGGGGTTCCTAGCACCACCAGTCTGGCCCCAACCCCTCCCACACAGCCCATCCCCAGCGCTTGGCAGGTGCTGACACCCCAAAAAGCAGCCGGGCAGTGCCGGCGGGGTCCCCAAAAGTGGCCCTGGCCCACACAGCACTGGGAGCACCAGTCTGGCCCAGTTTGGAGCAGGCAGGTGGCATCAGCCGTCCTGGGCAGGGTCAGGCCCCTGCCACAGCTACCACCATGCTAAACTGAGCCTGAACTTGATCAACAGTTTATGCCTAGAGGCCCAACAGCACTTAAATTAACAGCACTTAACTGATAACTGAAGTCAAACAATTTAGCAAAGTATTCATATAGAATTTACGACACCATAACAGTAACTCACTTACAGGCCTGACCGACTTACAAATCCAAAGTGCTGAAGAATCCAGGAGAGCAGCGTTCCCGGGACATTTGTTATGGCAGAT